TGTGAGCACAAATGAACACCGGTATCTGCTTAAAGTAACAGAATTCACTAAGTAGAACGGGTGTCTGATTATAGTTTGGACATGTAGTGTAGCTGAGAAGAGCAACCCATTTTTTTGTTACATTTGAGGCTTTCATGTGACCACAACACGCCAGTCTGAGGCAGTGGGCGCTGCGTGTGAGAGAAGAAAGGCAGAAAGGCAGTCAGACGGTGGGGTGGAGAGACGCCCCGACACAATGGGGCTCTTCATCGGGACCAGCAGCCACCTGTTTCCCGTCTGAAAGCGAGAAGAAAAGGCGCCTCTTTATCGCTCCAGAGCGACCTGGTTTCAAATATTAGCTTTGAATAGAAGTTTAAAAAAAAACACTATGCGCTTTTAGACAGAGGGCTCCGTTCGTAACTTCTCGCAGCTAAAAGGGCAAAAGGGAACCGCGCCCTCAGACCAGCGTGTCTCATTTCTGCGTAAGGAGTAACTGCACGTTTTTGCGTTTTCGCTGCTCTTACACGCCCATTTGAGGGTTTCAGAGTGTGAGACAGGTGTGTTGGAGCGGGGAAAACACAACAAAGCTGTTCTAGGAGCAGGACAGTGAAACAAATGGTGGCTGGACTGGAACAACTGCGAGCAATTCACCCGTTAACCTTTTGTGTGCTTAGTCCTAATTGTATAATGAGCGGCGGGCTAATGTGGATGAGCTAGCCGACTGATTTAAACACCGACAGCATACATTCACAAATAATACAATTCGGTTTACTGTCTGCTAGTCCTTTTGGCTAAAATATGCCAAAACAATTAAAAGTGGCGATACAATTTGTTAAACAGTTGTTTGGGGCACTGTTTTAGCGAACCACTGGACTTAGAAAACGTTAATGTTAGCTAAAGTAACGGCATTATTAGACTGATAAAGGAAGGTCAAGGCCCAGCTAGCTAATGTTAGCTTAACGTTTTCATTCCGAAAAACCGCCTCAGACAAAAAGCATCATAGAATGAAACAATATTAGGTTAAAACTCACACATAACGGTATTTACCTTGTTTATTTCTTCCAGTCTGTCTCTCTGTTGTGCTTTCAGTAATCCAAACGCCTTCCCTCCTGCAAAAAAGGACATTTTATAACCCGTTAAAGCTGGTTTAATTCCAGTGCACTTGCTGTCTGGCTGTTGAACCACATATCGTAGGTTAGCATTCCAGAAGAACCAGCCGTCCGTTATAACATTACCGACTGTGAGTAACGGCCAGCGTGATTACTGAATTGGCCGTATCTACAACTCTCTAAACACTTACCTTGTACATTTTGATTCGACGGCATGTTGGACTGAGTACGGTAACGTTAACGTGAGAGGACGTGCAGACAGTGGTGTTGCAGTGTGTGGCTTTCTCAGTTGTGGCGAGCCAGGGGAGACCAGCGATGTCCGCCTTGTGAACGAATCGTTCTTTTCAACCGATTCAATAAATCAGTCGAACCGATTCACAAGTCTCCCGAATCAAACCTTTTGTAGCATTTGTGCAATGTTTGTTACGAGTTCAAAAGGTCTGATACACTAAAAATATCAATCTTTCGCGACTCTGTATCGCTTAGGGAAATTTCACCGATCTTTTAAAATTTCTGTATAATTCAAAGTAGTTTAATATGAAATTGTTAATTTGCAGAGACTCAGAAATCTTTACAGCATAGGCACCAGGGTCCCGTCTACAACGCAAATACAGCCATTTTATTTACAATTCACAATCACCAATGAACCTACATGAGTCTTCTGAGTGTGTATATGTAACGTTGATGATGGTAAAACAGAGAAAACTTAAAAAAAAAAAAAACGTTTTCTTTGGGGATTATTTTGCCTTACAATGCCCTGCTTGTACCCCTCCGCCACAAATGGATTAAAATAAATGGATTAGCAAAACATTTTAGGGCAAAACTTTATCACAGAAGTACTGTAAAAGAATGTCTCAGACACCAGGCAGCATATTTTTAATCATTTCCCCCAGACCTCTGGTTTCTATCACCACCACTGTTAACACTTCTGACGCGGTAAATTTTTCTAAAACGGACCATTTCACACCAAACCACTCTGAATGACTTTGTTTACATCTTAAGCATTTAATCTTAAGTTTTTAATTTGGTTATGTGGAACTTCTGTAAAAAATGAAGTTGACTTGATTTGTGAATCAATGCATCGTTAAATTGAATCGTTCAGTTCAATAAAACGGTCACTTTCAAAGAATCGGTTCAGTAAACCGACTCGATCCTCCCATCACTAGACGAGAACAGGCGTGAGAGCCGCAGTTGATGCGCTACCGGGTTTGTCAAGAATGCAGCTCTACACGCCACCGCGTGGCGAAAAGTGAGATTGCAGACTCCATTCACTCAAAGCGCTATTTTCCCCCACCCGTTTTCCGACAAATCTCTTCTCCCTACGCTGGGATTGGCTAATAGTTCATACTTATAAACAGCCCGCCTATTGGCGCAGAACGCGGGATACAACCAGCTAATCCCTAGCGAGGGAGGGCGGGAATTGGAGGAATGTGGTGGGAAAAACAATGCCTTTTATAGGAACCTGTAGTGGCCTGTACTACATTAACTAATGCAGTGCCTTCACACATAGATCAAGGTAGCAGACGGAATTATTACAACGTCACACTGAAGCTGGAAATTGGCAGGACTTTTGGAACTGAAGGGTTTAATCAGAGCAAAGAGCAACAAACTTGCTCTTAATCTGGGAAATCCTTTTAAGCAGATCCAAGGCAGCTTAAAGGGGCAGTCCTGCCAAAATTAAAAATGTAACCGTTACTATATCTGTTGTAAACATGCCTATTCAGTTCCTACAGTGGTAGCTTACCACAGAAGTCTCTAGAGGGAAATTTTGCACTATAAAGACTTGAAAAACTCCTTCTGATGTATCTCGAAGGTGGGAGGACCTTTTAAAAAAACTACAAATGCTGTGGGGCAGATTCTTGAAGGTGGGTTGTTTTAAATAAGTTTAAGGCTGATAATGCGGGAACGCTAATAGGTACTGCTATGAAGCTGAGTACGCCTGTATTTACTAGCCTCCGGTGGCTATGCTAGCAGTCAGTTTTGGGTTGCATTTCTTTTCTTAAAAGAGTGGAATTTTGACAAAACTGGGCTTAATGTAGGCGAAATTAAATTAATAAATGTAGGTGAAATTAAAGTCTGTGTGAAAGTAAACCTAAAAAAGTACTATACCACTCTGCAGCATTTTTGTTATAAATCAAATAATAAAAATCAGTCAGAAACATACACTTAAGCCAAAAAGTCTTGTAACTGGTTTATTTGCTATTAAACATCAGCATGTCTTATAAAACATAACCAGCAATTCAGTTGTATGTGTGTTTTGTACGATCATATGCAAAAGTTTGACTACGGCTGGCCAAATTACATGATTTGTCGATATAATGAAGTGAAATAACACTAGACAAGCTTCTGCAAAATTTAGTGCACAATCTCTATTGATTTGAGACTAATATATTGTGAAAAAAAATTCAAAAGAAAATATATAATGTGTTATTTGTGTATTTTGTTTGTATTTTACAACACGTTAATTTCAGCAAATACAATGTGCAGAGGTGTGTCCTCTGTCTTTCACCAGAGACGCCAAACTTTTGCACATGACTGTAAATAAGAAACCAGTGTTCTAATATTGCTTGTATGTGGCGCCACCGTGTGGTCAAAATAGATACAGCATGTTCCTCAGATGTAAACGATACAATGCAAGTTAAAGAAGACAAAATCACATTCATAACACTTAAAAAGGACTTCTTATTCAACAAAGTGGATCACGGCAATTGTCTGACGAATCTGCGGTCAACTTGGGCAAAAATTGCAATCAATAAGCTGCAAATAGTAGAAGTGATTCTCCTGACGCTGATATGGACTATATGCACCAATCTGAAACCATGTGTGGAAAACTATAAAACTATAATTTCTTCCATAAAACAAAATTAAATGCTCTGTTCCACCCTAAACTGTTTAAGGGCCATCTCACCATTTAAACGGAACATCTAAATAAGAAGCTCACTTCAGCTTCAAATTGGAATAAGAGGGTCATTCTACAGAAACATCCATTTTTGTGTACCTAGCATTTACAGATATATTACACTTAAATAACATGTTAGGGTTACAATTCTTTTTACATTTATTGTAACATTTAAAAAGTTATTTTAACAATTACACTTCCTTCAGCCATCAATTTAGCAATATTGGTTTTTAAATCAATTATCTAGAATTCCAAGCACCACAGAAGTGCTTGTCCCCACAGTCATGTGTAAAGGGTGAGTGACATATTTTGAAGAAAAAAACACATTTTTCTGCAATTTTAACTACAATAATCTATACATGACTATGGAATATATAAATTAAACGACATAAAGAAAATAAATGCCAAATAAATATAATAAAATATATAATGCAAGTTGTTGTCCCTAGAAGTCGTGTCACTGGTGTTACTGCATAACAAAAAATCTCTTATTTTGAAATACAAGTCACTCTGATGACATCACTTTACATCGTTTTACCTATTTTCTGAAGATCTATGAAAAAAGCACATGGTGAGTCCACTGTGTCTTTTCACTTATTAGATATTTTCTCATTTAGCTCATGATTTCATATGAAGCTTTTAGTTGATGTCACTGGTGTGACCTACTTTATTCTTAGGTCATTGTGAAAAAATATAACACAAATGGATTAAATTACACATTTTAGTGGATATTCCATGATTGACAACATGTGGTTTGCTGCTCTGTACCAGCCATTTGGTAAAATGCATTTTTCATCAAAAATGTCTCTGGTGTTACCTTTCTTATGTGTAACACCAATGAGGGTTGGTAACACCAGTGACACCTATGGATAGATAGGAAAGTGGACGTTTCTGTAGAATGACCCAAGAAGCTAGCGAATAGGACGCTAACTACAGCCTTGTTAGAAACTAAAGCCCTCATAAATCCAACCATGGTTATGAATTAAATCATAAAACACACACTGACGCACTACTGACTTTCAACTGGTTTATTTGCTATTAAACATCAGCATGTTTTATAAAACATATCCAGCAGTTCAACTGTATGTGTGCTGTGTACATGTAAGAAACCAAAGTTCTATTATAGCTTGTATATCGGTGCCAATCGTATGGTCAAATATGAAACTGCATGTTGGTCATAAACATTATACTGAATATAAACAGGTTGTTGCTGTTATCAGATGAATACAGCCTGGCCACTCATGAATAGTCCAAAGCACATCACCCAAATATGCACAAGCTTTATCTCACTTACAGCATTAGTGAACATTGTATTTGTTACAAATCTCAACAGCACAAATTTGTCACTAGAAACAGTTTTAATATCAAATCACCTTTCAGGAATCTTCACTCAGGCCTCTCAGCTACTGAATCAGTTATTACAATTAAATCGATATTTAAAAAAGAGATTATGCCAAACATATTTGTAGTTTCTTTAAAAAGGATTGAGTTGATAAACTGAATAGGATCTGGAATGACCACTTCTTTCTTCCTTCTCTTTACGTTTAAAACAATACTCCATTGTTTTTCAGTCTACTCTCTATCTGCCCAATCTGTGGCGCATTGCTGATTCCCATAGACTATAAATGGGTAAACTGAGCTGTAGTTCTGTATAATTTGTTCTTTTAAATATGGAGCTAGATTTCAGTAAGAAAGAATCTGTAGAAATTATAGTAGTGTTACCAATGTTGTGGTGTGGGAGGAGTTTTCACAGGCTCTGCCTGATCACATATGGATACTAGAAAACCTTCTAGAAGAAGAAAATAATTGGAACGTTAGATAAAACTGAATGAGAACAGTTTTGCTAAGACATCCTAAGGTCTCCTTTGTTTGAGCATAAAGCAGTTTCAAATTCACTTTACATTATTTCAAATGAGTATCCACAGAATTCAGCAACTCCCCACTGGCTTCCATTATAAGCCTGTTTTGAATGGACTTTCTGTTCATTTCTGCTAAGCACTGGGAAACGCATTGAAACTATCAGTATGTCTGTGGTAGCTGAAAGAACAATACAGATACAGCAGATGGAGATTAGGTTGAAAAAACTGTAATTTTCCTTTAATAATTATTATAATATTCATCTCTGTCCCGCACTGAAGTTGTGATTCTACAAGTCTTTTTTCCTTTTTAATTCTCTCTTCTTTTTCTTTCATACTTTCCTCCTTTCTCCCCTTCTCCCCTTCTGTATGTCTCATCTCCCCCCTCTCCCCTTTCTCAGTGGCCCCGCTGTGGACACTCTTTGGGCAGGTTCTGAACGATGTCTGTCAAGCTGTCCCTCTCCTCTCGGATGTCCTGCAGGTTTTGCTCCAGCTGCAGCAGCTGTTTCTCCTGCTCCTCAGCTGCGCCGCGTAGCTTCTGGATCTTTCCGCTCAACACCGGGCTCGCTACGCTGGCCCGGAGCACCAGCAGGCGGGTGGCCGTGTCATTCAGCATCCGATCGTATTTCTCCACAGCGCCATTTGATTCTGCAAGAGATGTTTTAGGAGATATTTACTTACATCAGTGCTGCATGCAGAAACCCGTTTTTGTGTAGTCCTGTGAAAAAGTGAGAACTGAACATTTCTAAATGTGCCACGTCAAGACATCAGGCTGCAGCCTACTGCTGACAGCAGTGCAGTCGTCACTCTACCTATCCCAACACTTCTGCTCTATAGCAAGAGCTGTGTACACATCAACCAGAATACAAGATTCACAAACCCAACCATCACAGCACCCTTCACTATAAAGCATGCAGCCAGTCACCACAGGCACAACTTTTGCCCAGCGAAGATGACATAGCTGAGTTTAAATCAGTCATGTAAAAACAACCAGCAACTTAAAAAACATACTGCCATGGTGGGCATGAGAAATATTTTTAGATAATTTATGTCTTACCTTTGATGCACTGAAGTAGATGTTTGCTTTGACATTTTGACACAGCCAATTTTACCTTTTGTAGCAAAAGAGCATTGTGAGTAGTGGATGTGCAGACCACTGTCAACAGCATCTTTGGGTTTGGAAAGGGGGAGACTCTAGATACTTTATCAGGATCTCATTTCATCTCAAGTTCCCCCAGGTTTATGTTTTGCCCGCAGCTAGAGCTTCAAATTTAAACACTGGCACGCTGATAAAGAATTGAAGGCTTGTGGATCACAATGATAGCAACAATAGGCTTGTGAATAGCGGCCCTTACTGAGATTCCGTGAAAGCAAACAATTTCCAAATGTTTTGAGCTAAAAAAAAACAGAATTCTGCTTCACCATTACTCAGTCAATTCAGTAGGCCAGCATAATGAGCTGAAAATCGAAAAGCGAGGGTTTGAGGAAAAGAAAGAACATTTCAGGGCTCAGTTTCTCAAAAGCATCTTAGTGTTGAGATTATGTTAAAAGGTAGAGAGAATGTTCACTGTAATACTTGCTCTACCATTTAAGAATCATCTTTTTGTTAACATGCTTTCGGGAAACCCAGCCAAGTACAGTGGATGACAGGAAAGAAAAGAAAGATAGAAGACAGGCATGGCAAGGGAAGGCAAAGAAAGGACAAGCAAAAAGACAAAAAAATGACAGGAAGACATAATAGATGAATGATTTCTAAATGTACCTAAGCGACTGAGCAGATCAGCCAGTGTGTGAGTGAAAGCCTCCAGCTGGGTCTTAGCTGTCTCCATGCTGTCCTTCACGGATGCTAATGAAACATCAGCCTGTAAAGCAGAGACGGGAGATCATTGGATTAAAAAAAAAACAAACAAAAAAAAACACTCAAACCAAAGAGTGTTAACTGATCAAACCATTCCATCCCATTTACAGCAAATGATATTCCTATTTTCCATGTCTTTTTCAGCAGCACACATAATTCGAGGGCATCCAAGATTAAGGTTTAAAAAGGTTAAGCTAGTGGTTCCCAGCCATCGTCCAGGGGACCACTTGCTCTTTACAGGTTTGTGTCTTCTCTGATCTAACTGACTTAACAATAAATTATTTGTTTATGCAACAGTTAGTTCAGACGTCACAGTGTGATTGGCTGAGAAGCGTTCTGCACTGATATTTGTGACTCTTAAAGTACTAACAGATTATAAATCTCACACTTTCCAACTGATTGTTTATCCATCCATCCATCCATCCATCCATCTATCCACAGATGCACTGGAGTCCATTAACATCCTACATCCTATCATATCTCTGCCGTCGGAACAAAACCTCATATCTCCAAAGTGGAACCAGACTTGTTTTCAAGTCATTTCGGACCATTTCTTTTGACCCATTTATTATAAAATTTACACACAATATAAAGGGTAACAGGCATTTTCAAATGATGTCAAAAACTAAAAAACAAGAAAAATGCAGATATAATGTTTTCCGACAGCAGGGTTACATGTTAAAATTTTGGGAAAAGTTCATATTTATTAAGCTGAGAATAATTTTATTCAAGCATTCAAACATTAATCTAACCAGTGAAATGAAATATCATGATCTGCATTAGGAGCACAACAAGTATGTTAGCTATCTGTCCAATATGCACTATATACAGTATGTGCTTTAATTGGATTTAGTTGTGAACAGACTATTGCAGAAAGTCATATTTCCAATGAATTCTGGAGTACTAGATGTCAGCGAATCCAAGTCACCCCCAAAATATGCACAGACCACCTCCAGAGTATGCTGAGGAAAGTGTCATTTTCACACATATCAATTTTTACATAGATAGTAGCTCAGCATCATTTTATGTGTACACACCCTTCACACATATGGCCCCTTATGTTTAAATGTAGAAAATAAGTAAATAATAATACGGAAAACTCCTTCATGAGTCTACAAACATTTTACTGTATGTGTTAAAGCACTGGACCTCTGTACTGCTGGTGTGAACCACTGAGTAAATGTTCTGCAAGTATACAGAAAATTAGATTACATGAAATTACACAAGTGTAATAAGTTTTCTCAGCCAAACGTACAGGTTCCTCCAACTTGTTCAGTACCTGTTCTGCAACCTGGCAAGTATAATTTGGCACAAAACAGTGCTAATAAAGAGGCAAAAACATAAGCTCAGATGATGGACATACAGACTGCTCACCTCGTCCATGTGCATGTTCGCCTGCACCTGCGCTACTGCACTCTCCTGCTCAGCCAGCTGCTGCACAGCTGCGTTCATGGCTGAGTTCAGCTGCGCAGACGTCCTCCTTGCATGCTTTCCCCGTGACACAGATGCCTTGGCATCCTACAAAAGGAAAGTGAACGAAGCGGGGGATTAGCATGTCATCTGCTGCTAATTAGGGTTCAAGACATATGAGGACAGCTTTGTTTATGGTAAAGTGCCAAATTAATGGATGATAGCAGATTTGATAGTTCATTACAACAGTATCCTGTTCATTCTGGGGTTGGCTGAATGCTCCTAAATGTGAATGTAGCTACCTGTGCTTGCAGTAAAGCAAAGCAGTAAATATTCCTGAATGTGCCACATTCGGGAATTATGCTTATATAGCAATGCTGGTTGATATAAAAAAAGATTTGTTTATTATTTGCAACAGTGCTCTGTTTACAGTAGGTTATGGGATTCGATATGAGTAGGATATGAGTGTAAATATGTAGAAAACTTTAGGAAAACTCACTTAGAAACTATTGCAGTGCATCCAACAATAAAGGCAGCATTGTGCTTCTTTTATATAGGGATAGAAAACACAGCTAGTACACAGAAAGCACCAGTTCCACATGCTGATTCATTTTTTGCGACTCAATACACCTGGTGGCAGATTTTAATGAGTCTACAAGAACACTGACAATAATACATTAGGTAAGAACATAGTGTCAATTATACGTTGCATAAGATAGAGGCACTGCTCTTTTAGGAAACTGTCCAGCTCCTGTGCAACAGCGGTTTCTGAACTCACCTTCGCCACTGTATTAGCTGTGTCTTTGGTTTGGGCCACTGTATCGCTAGCTAGCGTAGCATTCTCCAGCGTAGGCCTCAGGGCTCTTTCAGCCTGCTTCACCTTTTTCTTCACCTCTGTCAGGATCTTCTCCTCCATGATGCTCTCTCGCTTCAGAGCCGCCCTGGTCTGAGTCCGCAGGACTGGCCATTCCTGATGTATGCCTGCACCAGAGGAGAGAATTACAGACTGTACTATTCTCCTCTCTTCTATTGCTCCCATTTGTACTCTCTGCTCTGCTGCCCTACTGTTTATCTTGCAGTTGCTATTCTATTCTATTCTATTCTATTCTATTCTATTCTATTCAGTTGTTCTCTCTTCTGCTCTGCTGTTTATCATCCAGGTTCTATTCTATTCTGTTCTATTCTATTCTATTCTATTACACTCTTTTTTGCCATACTGTTTATCTTGCAGTCTCTGTTCTCTGTTTATCCTGCAGTTTCTATTCTACTCTATTTAATTCTATTCTACTATATGCCAACATTCCCAGCGCCCGCCCTCAACCAATTTTCTCTCCTGATAATAGTCTATAGTCTAATTTATTCTGCAAATTCAACTGAATCACTGGATTCTTGAGATGTATTTCCCCAAAAACATTTTGGGGTCAGTTAATCAAATTATTTACCATTGGATAATAGTGATCTATGTATTTATATGAAGTTATATTAGTTGTTAGATTTTCAGACTTTTTTTCTTGAAGTGAAAATGAAAGTCAGACCTTTGGGGCAAGAAGTGCCCCCTCAGACAGGGGGCAAAAGGCCCCCATTAGCATACTGTGCCAGAAATATAGTTCAGTTAGATTTTCGTCATAAAGACACAAAGTCCGAGTTCCACTACTAGCTGGCTTTAGCATTGCATGCTAGCTATAGCAATCTTTAGCTGGAATTAGCCCGGCAAAGGCAACACTCTGAATCTGTTCTATGACATCCACACTTACCAATTAAATATTAAATACTATTGCTTTGTGTTAGTGTCATTGTTATAATAATAATAATAATAATAATAATAATAATAATTATAATTATAATAATAATAATACATGAATTTACATATCAATATGTAATTCATGTAATCACAATACCTCTTTAATGAGCAAAACTGACATTTCAAGTGCTTCTATTTTACTGTCATTGGTATTGTGTTTGTTAAAATAAGGTTTGCAACATAAATTGAGAGAGAGGCCTTGACTTCATTTTGAACTACTTATAAATAATACATAATTAATACTTAGTAATAATTTCTAAAAAATTTAAATGACATTTAAATGAACCTTCCTGTAAATCCAAGCTAACAAAGAGAATGGAATACAAGATTCTTTAGTAGCATTTAGCATTTTCTTTTTTTGTGCAACACAAATAAAACTGATCGCTTTTCTGTGCGCAGGTTTGTGTGTCATCACTCCAGTACATGATATACCCATGCACAGGTTTGGTCTAGCTGTACAGTAAATGAGAATTTTTCCCTAAAGCTGCTTTTCCACTTGTTTTCCCTTATTAGATCGTAAATCCTAACCTACAGTTTCTATTCTATTTTGGCTGAGATCTATTCTAAACTTTCTTTACTCTTCTCGACCACGTTCCATATCTTTCTTCCCATTGTCTGTTCAGTTGGTTTCATTAGAAATATTCAGTGTCTTTCTTCAATCCGATGGCATTATGAGTGAAATATCAAGAAGGTGTCAAAACATTAAAATAAAGAAATAAATCACTTGTGCAAGGGCTTTATAGCTAATAGCTTTACCTTCTAGATTTCTGCGCAGAGAGAAGGTCTCTGAGTCTGTCTTCTTGCCTTGTACCACTGAAGAAAGAGCTGCTTCTTTCAAGCCCTGGGCAAGAGCTGACAGCTTCACAGACAAATGAGAAGACATCAAGAAAGAATAAAGACATAATGTCACTGTTGCAAAGACAAACAGGCTTTTAGGTGAAATCTTTTTATGTAAGAATGTTTTGGCAGATGCAATTGCCTCATTTTGCCTCATTCAGTGTGTTTTATGTGTCATTCTCATCCATATATTTTGTAGTTGCATTTACTGCATCATTATTTCACTGTATTTGTTGGCAGATTTCTGCTTGTGTACAATATTTTCTGCTCCTGTCAACTGAAACAGATCACAAAAACTAAACTAGAGAAAAGAAACCAACAGCAGTGTCAGGCATAAGGCTCAGATAATAAACAGTGTTAAGGCACAAATTATGCAATGATGAAAGAACTGATTTAAGTCACAAAAGAATATATACACCAATCAGGCATAACATTATGGCCACCTCCTTGTTTCTACACTCATTGTCCATTTTTTTTCAGCTCCATTTACTGTATAGGATATACACAGAGCAAGTACTCTTAGCGTGGTGGATCATTGTCAGCACTGCAGTAACACTGACGTGGTGGTGGTGTGTTAGTGTGTGTTGTGCTGGTACAAGTGGATCAGACACAGCAGTGCTGCTGGAGTTTTTAAACACTGTGTCCACTCACTGTCCACTCTATTAGACACTACTACCTTGTCAGTCCACCTTGTAGATGTAAAGTCAGAGACGATAGCTCATCTGCTGCTGCACAGTTTGTGTTGGTCATTTTCTAGTCAGTGGCCCACAGGACACTGTTGGCTGGATATTTTTGGTTGGTGGACTATTCTTAGTCCAGCAGTGACACTGAGGTGTTTAAAAACTTCAGCAGCACTGCTGTGTCTGATCCACTCAGACCAGCACAACACACACTAACACACCACCACCACGTCATTGTTACTGCAGTGCTGAGAATGATCCACCACCCAAATAGTGCCACAACACTGCATATATACATATATAAATATATATATATATATATATATATATATATATATATATATATATATATATTTATATATGCAGTGTTGTGGCTTAGGCAACCATGAAAATGATTTATCTGTGCAGTAAGGCTACATTTACATTACAAGCTTCATTGCTCAATTCAGATTTTTTGCTCAGATCTGATCTTTCTAACTAGACAGTTCACATTCGCAAACATGAGTGACTCAAATCTGTCGGTAATGTGAATGAATCTTTGTCCTGAAATGACCAACATGTGCACATCCTAATCAAAAACAACAGACTAATCAGCAGAACAAGACTTTGTCGCAAAGATAATCTGCTCTGAGCAGCTGTCAGCTGTTCATTATTAGAGCAAGACGAAGGTGAAAAAGGGTCAGATGCTTTGCTTTTGCATTGTTTACTGGCACTAACTTTAGGTTAGGAATGGCTGCATCCTTAACACTGAATGATGGCAGTGAAAAAAAAAACACAAATTCTGATTTGAGCATTCATATTCATTCGCATGGTTGAATATGTTTGAAAAAATGAACACTGTTACCGTATATATGGATTATTCTACCAAATTGGCTCAGAGTTCAAAACCCATTTCAGACTGAACTGGACTTTACACTAAAATCCTTTTGCTTTAAGTGACCCTATACCAGGGGTCGGCAACATGCGGCTTTCAGAGCCACATGCAGCTCTTTTACTTCCCTGTTACGGTTCCATCCAAATTAGATTTTTAAGTAAAAATAAAAGAATCCTTCTTTGCAGTAAAATAAAGCTCTGCTGATCATTTTAACACAGTTTTAACACTGTTTTAACAATAAATGGTCTTAAACAGTGGAGTTTATTCATATATGGTCTTAAACACTGCTAATTCACCCTTAACCCTGAAGACTGATGCGCAGACTGCTGGTCTCACAGCAACGCAGACAGCAATCTCACCTAGCTAGTAGCTAACGACAAGGCAAGAAGAAAGATTTGAGACAAACATTGATAATTTAGAGACGAAAGGATTTATTTGCATTTATAAGCACTCCAGCTGGTTTCCTGATATTTGTAATCTGCAACGGGAAACTATCAAACACTAAAAAGTCGCAAGGCTGAAGTCAGATTCTCATTCGCCAGCTTCTTGTTCTAATTGTCCCGTTCAACATTCTGGCATCTCAGGCACCATTTAAGGTGGAACGGGAAAATTCAAACAAGAAGCTAGAGAATAATAAGCTGACTTCAGCCTCGTAAAAAGTTGAACGTTGATAGACATTTTACTGCCGGAGTTGCGAGAAAAGCGAATATGGCTGAGCTAAGGATTAAAGCAGAGCAAAGTCTGTGTTTTTGTTTATATTTTTTGGCCTATACTAGGACATCAGCATATACTGAGACATACAGCTAAGATGTAAGCTGTAAGTAAAACGTTACTTTAATAAAACAGGCATAAAATGTTGTGGCACCCAAGGTGGTTTGGTTTTTATTGAAAGCACAAAATGACTCTTCTTAATGTTTGAGTTGCTGACCCTTGCCCTATACCCTAATTATGTTCATTCCATTCTGTCACTAGCAAAAAAATCACCACTCTACCAAAACTTTACCAAATGTTTCAGTAGTGACAATTTTAGCTCATTTTGAGCATAACTCAAAAATGCCAGCCAGTGCATAACTAGCAAACACAGCTTTGAACAGTTGTACACACATAAAATCATCATTTTTTTTTTTAATTGAATTGATTGTTTGTGTACTGACAATTCTTAAGGTTACATATGATTTTCAAACTTAGGGATGCATTTACTTCAAAACACTAGGCCTCATTCACCAACTGTTCTTAAGAAGAAATTTCTTCTTAAAACCCATTTGTGCAGTTTTCATTAAGATTCTGACATTCATCAGTGTTTTCTTATTTGAGGTTTGTTCTCAGGTAAGAACAGAATCGACACGCACTCAAGAGGTATGAACAATTCTGCTGTTTAAAAACATGGCATGAAGCTGACATAGATTTTTTCTTAGGACTTTTCTCAAGAACAGATTTAAGAAAAAAACTTAGGACGATATTGCTGAATGAGGCTTGAACTTCTCACCATGTGGCCATGAGATATTCAGACTCACTTCCCGCTCAAAAATGCATGGGTGTGGCTAAAATAAGGCTCAATCTATGGATGGAACCTCTGTAACTAAGTAGCACATTGTATATTGTCAGCGCTTGTAAGCAATACGGACACAAGACACCTGGAGAGATTTTATCACAGCTAAATTGGTGGCAGTCGTCTGGCCTGTCAGGATTGGCGGAGCTCACCTGGTGGAACTCCTGAATGGTCTTCAGGTTCTTGTGTGCGTTGTCTATTTGGGACTTCATCTTCTCTCTGGTCTTATTTACCTCCTCTTCCTTTAACTGCACCATAACGTCCAGTTCCGCAGTCCTATTGGCTAGGTCCGAACTCTAAACCCGGAAATCAAAGCGGTTGCATTTCAGTACATCTATTTCAAATCAACTGACAAAAACATTTGCCAAAAAAACATGCATTTGAATATCCTAATAGCCAATAATTGTACAGTCCTGTACTACTCCCTCAGTACAAGGGAAGGGGCTTGTATTAACAAGCACTGAGTAATTTTACATTCATTATTTATTCAAACTCAAAGCTCAATTCTAAACTTTCAATCGCAGCTACATTTGTGTTCGTAACTAGAAGGGATATTTATCATGATTTGAAGTTCAAGTGTGCCAAGAAAAAAAAAAACACTTTTTCCACATTCCTTTTATTTCTTGCTGTAAAACAATTCTGAACCTGTCAAGACAGAATGTAAATCCAATACAAATTCATTGTGTAATGAATGTAAATGGAATAGAAATTTAACTAAGCAATCTAGATAAATGCAGTAGTAGGGTTAGGGTTTAGGTTAGGGCTAAGACCAGGTTTAGGATTAGTACTAGGGTGGAGGTTAGATTTAGGTTTTGGGTTGAGGTAAGGTTTGGTTTAGAGCTAGGGCCAGGATTGGAGTTCAGAAAAATTAAGGTGGATTTCAAGATATGTAGTTGAATGTAAGTTAAATAAATAGGTTACAGATAAATGTCTACAAAGCCTGTACAGTGGGCTATCCAAATAAAAAGTTACCTTAAATGTAAATGAAATTACTTATCTAATGAATGTAAATCAAAAATCAATTTAATTACTTATGCAAATAATGAATTTTTTTATGTAATTATTTATAAAATTACAGTGATATGCAAAAGTTTGGACACCCCTTGTCAAATACTATTTAGTTGCTGAATTTAACATTGAAAAACATTAAACATAAATGTGGCATGTATAAAAGGTATTTAATATATATATATATATATATATATATATATACAAAATGTCAAAACTTCAAAGGTTTAATACTGCATACAGTGAATGGAAAATAATTCTACATGTTTTATATTCTCTTGTCCCTGTAAGCTCATTGGCTATGTGGATGAACCTGGATCGGTTGCGTAGCTTGCGTTGCTGTGCTGTCTGCTTCACTGAGCTGTTGTGTGGAGGATGTACTGTTCGTCTCTGCCGCAGTGGAGGTGATGCTGCTGTTATTCTTGTGCAGTTCAGGTAGAGTGGAGGTGATGTTGAGTAAAATGGCCTTTGTGTCAGTGTGTTGCTTCTGCACTGACAGGTGGGCAGCAAGGGTGTCATTCGCCTGAAGTGTGAGATTCTCCTTTATCTGCTGCATCTCTGACAGCCTGACACATGCACACACACACACACACACACAGACACACACACACAAAGAATCAACATGATGGTCTGTGATACTTTTTACATAGACATCAATGACAAAATACAAGGAACACTTTATATACACTGTCATTTTCTAAGGGAAAATTTCCACTTGGAAAAGCATCAAAATGTGATTTGACCAGGGGGCACCTAAACATTTGCATAAGACTGTATGCTGCCTGTCAAAAGACTGAGGACACCATGCTTCTGTTTCTGTTTATCACATTCTATTTTTCTTATTTTTCATTTGTTCTTCTCATGAATTATTATTTTTTTTGGCATGTTATATTATTCTTGTGCTAAAAGTTAGGTTTGGAGCTAAAGCTAGTACTGTCACAACTATTATTCATGTGATATTGCTTTCTCAAAAAGATAATTAGACTTTAATATGTTAAGTTTTTGAAAACTTAGTGTCACAGTCTGACATTCTTGACTCCACCCACTCCTGTTTTCTAGCCATGTCTTGTTATTTTTTGGTTACCTCTTCTCCTACTTCGTCCCGCCTCATAAAGAATGCTGTGTTTAGGATTATTAAACCCTCTGGGGTCCATGAACTGCATCAAATGCAATGTTTCTATGTATGTTTCTCTGTCTTTGCGAAAATACAGCCCAGAAATACGGTTCAAATATTTCCTGAATCTGTAGAGTTGCCCTTTCCATTCCATCTTATCCAGAGATCTTATGTAACTCGCATCTGGAGTTATGAGGCTATGAAGAGGGGCTGAGATACACGTCTTCTGCCTCTCATCATGTGTAATTGGTGGATTCTTGTGTCTGTCTACATTTTGTGTGAAACTGATCAATGGACATTTAGGAAATCACTAAGGCCTTCACATCATGTTGGAAACCCTTCATTCTTCATTCAATCTGAAGTTGCTGCAGCAGTTTTAGAAAGTAGAAAGATAACCAAGCATTCTGATGTGAAACATATGGGTATCATGTCATATGCAAGTGCCTTTAACCCATTACATGGCCAGGGCCTTTCAGCAGGCCCAAAGTTTTATTACACATTTCTATAAGCTAAGAATAGCTCAACCAGTTTACACTGAAGTTCATGTAGTTACTGAAAAATAAGCCTTAGTATGTATTAAGTCTGGTATTTTAAAGGGTTAAAGACAAATTTACAAAGATATGCAAAAATTGAGAAAATGCCCTTAGACCCACAGGGTTAAAGCTGTGTTTAGTTGGTTACCCCTTCTGTATAAAGTGTTTTTAGTCTTGTCTTGTGTATATAGTAAAGTAGCACTTTGTTTCAATCTTGATTGGTCTAGTCCTAAATCTACAGTACTATGCTGTGTTTAGTTCATGCTCTCTTTGTTTTTGTAATATTTGTTTTGTTTCTTTAAATCAATTTGCATTCATGCATACATCCTCATGCCTTATGCTTCAACACCGCCCTGTGTGTCAGCAGACTAGACATTCCACAAAATGGATGAGCAACTTAAATTGACTGATCCAAAAGACAAGAAACACTAAGGACTAATAATAAGGTGGGGCTAGGGAGGAGAGAAGAGAACCAAAACAAAAAATAAAAGCACCTGGCTGGAGAACAGGAGAGGTCAGAGCCAACATAGAAAGACCATGACACTAAGAAAACAAGCTCATCTGTATTAAAACAGTTTGAAAAACAAAATGTCAACCAATTTGTGATGGGTAGTGTACATATACATATGTATTACCATTTTATTCGGTTTTCCATTAATCTATGTAGGCTATTACCCACACGTCACTTACATTTACCCACACTTAAACCTTACCCTCCATAGTAACTTAAAGAAAATTCTTTCTGATAAAAGCTGTATTGTGTTCAAAAATTCACTTTCCTTATGAGGACCAGCACAGTGGTGTGACAAAATCCATATTTTCATATTTATTTCAGATTAAAATGAAGAGTACACATATAAACACACACGATTACTTACTGCTGTGTAAGATCTTGTACATGGAGCTCTGTTGAGTTATCCTCCAGCAGACTCAGTAGCATGGAATAGGTTCTGTTAGACACTTTGAGTGCCTCTCCTGCTAGCTCTTCTATATGAGTGGCCATTTCTGTATGACTGTGGAGAAAAAAAAACAGTAATGGTAGATATATAGTCAGAGACCACCCTTCATTTATTTAATTTGCAGTCAAAAAGGCCATTAAGTACAAGTTATTCATTTTTCAATGCCAGCCAAAAAAAAAAAAGAACAGAAAGCATATATTTAACAGAAAATCACACAGAAGCCTCAACAATTGTATATCAGTATTGTTATATCTAATTGTCCAGTATTTAGTGTGTCCACACTTTGTCTTAGTTACAGCTTTCTGTTTTTTAAATAAATCTGAAGAGATATTTTTCCATACCTCCAAAGTATAGTCTTAGGAGTTGGTTATATAGGTACAACAAGTTATGGTAAGGGCCCCGTCACTTTGGAAATCAATTAAATTCCTTTGAATCCTTGTTTGAATCAAACCAATCTGTTTGAATAAAATTGAACCTGTGAGTGAATTAAATCAAGAATGAAATCCTTGATTCACTTCATTCGATTTGTTGTCTATAAGAAGGTTTGTATTCTCAGACCTGCGATGAACACTTTGTGAATTACTGCCTTTACTTATATATTTCAATAAAGCCAGTATTGATTTTTCTGCACTGCACAGTTCACTTCTGTGAACTGCAGACCCAAAAGGAGCTGAACAGCTTAAGTCTTAACATGACTGCATTATAATTGCAATTGTCAAGCCTACCTCTTCACTAAAGCTTCGGATTCATTGACTCGAGCATTCCACTGGGTCGGTCCTTTTGGGATCACAAACGGGACCACCTGAAATGGGCAAAGAAGCCAACAAGAGCTTTTAAAATGGGCTTAAACTCATTGCAAAAGCCAACCACTTAAGCTGTGTCTTTTATTGAACCCTAGATAGAATTAAAGGAATAGTGTTTCCAAAAATCTAATTAACATTTACCACATTTTCCATCAATCTGTGGCCTGTACTTGTTACCTTGTATCTGGTACAAATGCGCAGAAAAGTTGAATTTAAAAACAGGTTTATATTTGCTGTTTACATGTTGTAGATACAAATTATTTTAGAAAAATATGAAGTAATTTAGATATGATGGTGGTTCCATGCAAATACCAAGGGTTCAATGATTAGTAGGAAGCTTAAAAAATTCAGTAATCTTAGATGTCCAGAACGACAAACAGAGCTGTAGATGTTTCCATAATAATTGAGAATGCTGTATAACATTAATAAAGATGTTTTAAAAAATAAACATCCGGAATGCGTCATATTTGAAAAGGGTTAATCAACTCCTAACAGAGGATTAGTGCAAACAAACATTAGTTATCATGTAATGACCTTTTGTAGTTTCTATACAACATGTAATATTGCATGTAATCTGAAATATATATTAATCAATATATAATGCATATAATCTGAAAAACCTGCCCCTAATAGACACCGATCAGGCATAACATTATGACATTATCCTTGTTTCTTCGCTCATTGTCCATTTTATCAGCTTGGTGCACTTTGTAGTTCTACAATTTCAGACTGTAGTCCATCTGTTTCTCTGCCTACTAGTCCATCTGTTTCTCTCCCTATTACCCTGTTCTTCAGTGGTCAGGACCCCCATGGACCCTCACAGAGCAGGTACTATTTGGGTGGTGGATCATTCTCAGCACTGCAGTAACACTGATGTGTTAGTGTGTGTTGCGCTGGTACGAGTGGATCAGACACAGCAGTGCTAGCAGTGCTATATATATATATATATATATATATATATATATATATATATATATATATATATATGCTTAGAAAAACATAAAGACATAATTAATAATAAGAATCTTATTTACAATTTACAACAACTAAAGTAAGTTCACAAGGCGAGACTTGTGGAGTCACAAGCCCAGCAAGAAGGCTGCAATGCTAAAGGCTAAAGGCTATTGTTACCTCAAAAGACTGGCAGTTTCTTACATGTTCAGTCCCTCTAAAAGAAAGCCAGTGCAAACTGAATATGACCGGAGTAATATGTTCAAACTTTCTTTTTGGTGAGCACATGATTTGCTGCATTCTGAACTAGTAGGAGCCTGCTTAGTTGGACCGCAGGACAATCAGCTACTTACATGTTACTGTAGTTTAATCTAGAAGTTATGCAAAAGCATGTACTAATTTCTGAATATCTTATAAGGTTTCGATATGCTTTATTTTGGATTTATTTTGGAAGTAATAAAACAGAGATATTATTGATATGGTTCTCAAATAAATAAATACAGCAAGGTCTTTAACTGAGGCTTTTGGTTGCGCAGAAAACAACAACAACCTTATGATCAAGGAGACAGTCTACAATCTAATTTCGAGCAGATTTAGGAGAAAGTTTCAGGTCTTCCAAGCTTTTATATCTTAAACACAAACTACTATTAAGTGTAACTGTGTCATTGAACAAGTAATTTAAAACTTTTGAATGGTTGTGTGTAACCAGTGCCAATATGTACACACACACACATACACGCACACACACAGATATTTACTGAATACAGAAGGACATGGTCTGGGGAGACTCACCAGGCTGTTAAGGTCAAACATCATCTTCTGAAGCCGTGTTTGCGCATCAGTGACAACAACAAATGTGTTTACTAGAGCTCGGCATTCATTTGCTCCCGTCCTCTCCTCTTCCTCCTTGCCTCCTTCCCCCACGAAGCTGCAGTTCACTGCTATGGCAAAGTTTCGCAGCTGCAGCTGTAGGGTCTGTGCAGATGTTTCCAGCTGTGAGAACTGCCTTATAAAGGCTTCTCGCGCTTCTGTATAGAACCAAGGAGAATGTGTACTCAGTCATTGATTTCATTTCCATGGATAAAGAAGAAAAAAAGTAAAAAAAAACAGCAGGTGCACTCATAAAAAGCCCTCTGAGAGTAGCTAATGTTAGCCTGCTGCTGGAAAAATGCACGGCAGAACATTTGAGATGACTATTCAGATCCGATTTTTCCACTTGTGTCAATAGAAAAATATGACTGAAAGAGACACTTCAGCTTAATTCTGCTTAAACTAAAGGAACAGTTCTGCAAAAAAATGTACACTACTAACCTCGTGTTGTCAATCAGCCAAGACATGTATGGTGTCTGATGTTTAATGAGTAATGGAACCTTCTCAGTTAGTAGAAATTAGTATTTTAGCTTTGCCATTAGATTTTTCACCTTGAATGGCCAGGAAATCTTCCAGGGCATTGGGCAGATAGTCCTCGCCTTGATGGTCATGGACTTGATTCCCAAGCACGTTTTGCTGATGCTGGTGCATGTGATGTGGCCGCACGTAGGACTGCGGCCTGTACCTCCTGCAATCATAATTGGAAAGCAGTCGCTCCAAATCCTGCAGTTTAGTTTTGAGTTTACTGGCCTGTAGATATAAAAAATAAAACAATATTCATTAAAAATTAAAGGCAAAGGAGATAATGCTTAAATAAGTTAACTCTCCTATGTCTTATGTTGTTTATATGTCCTTAGATGACCTTTCTTACACTTTGCTGAATTATTTCTTACTCATAGGTCACTGAAACAAGTGGAAAAATTCTGTTGGAAGTGCGGATTCCAGGCTTTCAATCAATATCACATTTGTGTTTGTAGGCAGAGGAAAAATATTTTATTATGTTTTGAGTTTCTTGTTTTTGAGCAACAAAAAAATGGTCTTATAACCTTTGAAATGCATGGAAAAAAGTCAGACTTAATGGTACAGAAATACAGATTACATTTAAACAGTAGTGCTACCTCTGCACCTCTAAGAGTTAAGCCTGAATAAGACATAGATAAACCAACTTCAGGAAGAACAGTAGATGAAAACACATTGTAGACTCAAAGGCATTCGAAACCCATTCACTCGCTGTGGTGCTATGGTCCTGAAAAATTGTTGATCATTACAACATTTATCACACCTTATTAACCTGAACCCAGCTGAGCCGAAGGCTATCATTAAACTAGTTAAAATGCAACCTTTCCTTCCCACGTATTCCCATTCAAAATGACTTAGCAATTAGAAATTGAGTGCCAGGCAGTGAGCATCAGCGAAATGCATCACACTCACTTAGACCAGGGAGGCAGTGTGTGGGTGAAAGAAAGAGTGCTTACGGTGTTTGCAATCATTCATTTAGAACGAAAATGGTGAAACTGGTCATTTTCCCCCAGCTGAAATGTCTAAAGCTAAAGGAGGTAGCTTTTAGTAGTAATTAGGGTTAGGGACAGAAAATGAGTGTTTGTTTTTAATATGGGGTGATAAGCATCTGGACTAACAGTTCAGTACATGAACTTTTTCATATCCTATTTTCCACTGACAGTTTTGTTGTTATATCATTGTGCTGGGTATTTAAAACGGACATGATATTAGCCCATGCTTGGAAACGAGCAACTACAACCAACAGGTGGCAGATCAAATGTTCTAAGTTCTGTAATTCAGTTCATTTTATTAATTTGTGTGTATACAGCTTGTTTACAACAGCCAGTGGCCCTTATTCATAAAAGTTACATCAAATCTGATCATAAAATGAGCGCACACAAATTTCATTTGCATTGTCAATCTCACGTCTGGTAAGAGCGTGTAAATTTGCGTGTAATAGTTTAATAATCTAAAAAAAATGATTGATTTGAAGTAAACTAACCAAACTAACCTATTATCAATATCATCTGTAATACCAGTAGTAATAAGAATAAACCTAGAAAACAACAATAATGCTAATAATTTGTGCAGATGGCAATCTAGTAGGAAACAGATGTACTTATTTTACATGCACACAGTTATAAACAAATGCTGAACTATTCCATGTTCTATTTAAAGACATATTACATTGTGCTTTTGTTTTATACTAATGACACAGAAGCATCTGATACACTGCAAACTAGCATTTAAATCTGTTATTTCAGGAAAATAATTACACTACATACTTACGTCTTTATACAGTTTTAAAAAATGAAGACTTTTTTTAATTTCACATTTTATTCTTCTGACTCATCATATTTGTAATACTATAAAGTTTGGGTGGGGGCAGCATTTGGCCACAAACTCTGTCTATAGCCACATATATTGGCTTATGAGCTTCCGAATGCTGTATTTTTATTCATTCCTTTCTGAAACATCTGCATGAATGGCGTGCTTTGTGTAAATGACATGTGAATCTGGTGCTGGTAGGCAGGGATGGGTAAGTAGCTAAGTAGCGCGCTACGGTTTGTACTTAAATACAAATTTTTGTAGCTAATAGCTGTAGCCACTACAGTTTTATGAAATGTAGCTAACAGCTGTAGCGCCTACAATTTTTTGTGTAGCTATAGCGAAAATTGTCGCTACAATTTCGAGCAAACAGACACGCACTAGTGATCACCCCTCACTAGTAGGCTTAGGTCAGGGGTCGGCAACCGAAATGTTAAGAAGAGCCATTTTGTCATTGCAACAAAAATAAAACCACCTTGGGAGCCACAACATTTTATATCCGTTTTTCTATCTTGGCTGTAAGTATGTCTCAGTATGTGCTGATGTGCTAGTATAGGCTAAAAATATAATATAAACGAAAACACACACTCACTTTGCTCTGCTTTAACCTTCAGCTCAGCTGTAGCCGCTTTTCTCGCATCTCAGGAAACTTTTCCGCCAGTTTCTTGTAAAATGTCTCTCAATGTTTGACTTTTACGAGACTGAAGTCGCTTTTCGCTCTGCTGCTTCTCGCTCGAATTGTCCCGTTCCACCTTAAATGGTGCCTGAGGCGGCAGATGGTGCAGCTGCACCATTTAACGTGGAACGGGAGAATTCGAACGAGAAGCAGGAGAAATAGAAGCGATTTCAGCTTCGCGAGTTGTTGCAGATTAAACGATTTTACAGTAAAGGAGGATTATGTTATTTTACCTAAAAATCTAGTTCTGCTGTGGAGCCACAACAGCTCTGCAGCAGTGGAGAGATTATTCAGGCCTGATTTTCAGGCCAAACAGAACCAGGGTCACTGATGAGAATTTTGAGGCTAAAGTGTTGCTGAAGTTTAACAAAGGACTCTGAATGTCATGTCTGTCTGTGTCTTGCTGAAATGTTTAAATTGGAGCAGTTTTATTTCAACAGTTGCACAAAATTGTTTGGTTTGTATCCGATTAATTTTGTTGATTTTTGTAAGGAAAACCTGGAATGATTGACTTTGCCTTTAGTCTGAATGTTTGTTGGATATCACGCCTTTGGTTGTGTGTTTGATTGCTGGTTACACTTAAACTTACATTTTTATCAGGTGGAGATACACAAACATTGTGACAATCAGCTTTGAAAGTAGCTAAAAAGTAGTGTACTTTCCAAATGTAGCTAAAAAATAGCCACTACTTTTTCTGGAAAAGTAGCTAAATTGTAGCTAGCTACAAATTTTGATAAAGTAGCTAACTACTAATTTTTCAGTAGCTATCCCAACACTGCTGGTAGGCTGGCACTTGATTTCATGCACTGAGGCTGATTCATCATTTTCACTCAAATCTCCACTTCTTATGTTGCACGAAAGTGTTGTCAACAAAGAAACAAGCTGTGATTTGGGCGCAACTGATAAATCAGCTTCAGTGCATGGAAATAAGGACCACATACAAATACTTTATTTACATATAATTTACCATGGACATGCCCCAATTTGCCCTCACATACGTAAAACGTACATGAAGCATGCCTGAATTCATGAAGATGTTTAGGAAGTGAGCCCAATAAAGCAAAAGCATTCAGCAGCTCATGAGCCAACAGTTGTCATCATGGGCCGAGTTAGGGCTTGAGCAGGATGTGCGCTAACCCCAGAGCCCTGGTCGAATGCAGCAATAATCATATATGAGAACAGATCTGCATCCCAAAGCTCCTGTACCCTATTACAACACAAACATCACAAAAACTGGAGCCATTTGTTTCCCTTTAGCTTTTATAAAATGCATAACTGCACAAAACAAAAGTTTGGCGTAATGGTAATCTCAGGAGATTTCGGAGAAGAATTCCTCGGATTTGCACGTAATGTGGGGAAAGCAGCGCTTGGATTTCTATTTACCTGAAATACAGAAATGCATTTATCTGTCCATGTGTAAATGGAATCTTCTATAGACTTTATCCTGATCTGAGACACATGAAATGTCAAGCTGCAGCTAAGAGTCAATCAGTCATAATGGAAAACATGGGGGGAAGCTGTGAGATGAATGAGGCTTGCAGGTCGAACAGCTGCACAGGGGCTTCTAATGGAAGGGCAGTCCCAAAACATTTGCAGGGTAAAAGCTGCATACCTGGCAGTAAAAATCTGCAGACAGTTTAGTTTCACACATTTCCAAAGGGGTCTTGTGGGATCTACTAATGAGGCTGAAGTGAATAGCTGGCGGTAGGTTTCAGGAAAAATATATGTTTTTATTTATTTTTTTGAATCCTAAGCCAGCAAACCAGCTGCCATTCATGTTTCAAAACTCTAGCTGACAAGCTTGACTGGTATTCATGAGGTAAAAGTGTTATAAACTGGCATTAAACCTAAAAGTCAGGATTGCGCCAAACAAAACGTATACCTCAAATCTTCCCTTTACCCAAAATGTACTTGATGAGTTATGATATATTTGGTGTTCAAAGTTTTCTTATTTGGTTCCACATTTGAAACATGAGGCTAATGTATTTAATAACAAAAGGGACTAATTTAGCATCATGCTAACTATAATTGCCTCAAATAGACTCCCTTATATATATAGACTACATGTATCACATACTGCAGTCCATTACAGTCAGTAAATAGAACAACTTACAGCATCTCATACACTCACTTGTGCTTGAAGCCACACTCACTTTCAGTCTGTAATCAAAAAGTATCGTTCAGGAATCGGTATGGAAATGAAGGTTTCACTATCGATTTTAAAAATTGTTAGCAATATATAGTATTTGTAAAACATGGAAAAGGCAGCACACGGCCACATTGTTGATGTTCTGTCAGCATCTGAGGCACTAATGACTATAGCCGCCCAAACAAGATATCAAAAAAAAGATAGAAAAAGTTTGATCCAGAAGTGTCGAATCAACATTTTTGTCAACAAACCAATGTCCCAGTATTTAAACAGTCAAAAAAAGCATTGTCAGAATAAAAAAACACTTAAAATGTATTTATTATCGTGCATTTTTTTTTAACTCTCAGTTGCTGTCATATTAGAAAATGCTGTGTGGTACAGTTCAACATCAACTTCACATTATATGCTGTGTTATTATAGAAAATGTTTTGAGATGAGTTGATTTCACAATACTGTGAAAACACCACTAAAGCCGCACTATGTAAGTTTTGGGAATTTGGAGACCTCTCTGGTGAAAATGTGCAATTGTACGAGATGTGCAGAAAAGCATTTTGTCACATTGTGTTTGTGCGTGTGACATTAATAAGTATAGATGTATAACATTATCCGAAAAACTTCCGCCAAATTTAAGTCAACCTTGATGACTTTTGAATGATTATTTCAGGCTTTTATGCAGTGACAAACAGCAGCGCACGTACCCCATATTTTAGCATGTTTACTCCTTCCTGACTCAGTAATGCTACTACTGTCAGTTTTAACAAAAAAATCTTACATAATGCTGCTTTAAAAATTGTGAAATCCTGGCAATAATTAACAGTACATATATTTTAATTCACACAGGGTTTACATAATCACCCATATTAACACCCCAAATTATGTGCCAGTGTAAAGGCCTAATCTCCAGTCAATGATTTCAAATTCCGCACTAATAGTCCCTGAGAGGGCCCTCTGGATTTCCTATAATAACCATAGGCAATGAAAGACTTCATTTGCGTGTTCAAAACTGATTCCTATTCTCTTCCTGGCTATCCTGCTCCCATTCTACTTTTGCCTCGAGAGGTTCAGGGTGCTTCCATTCTCTACTTAACAGTCATCCAGTCTGAAGCACTGTGATCGGGGAGCATGTATTTACATTTTCAGTGCAAATGTGGGTGGCATCTGTTTCGCTAGCTTTGTGCTCGCATTGCTGTTTGACAAACAAGAGCCACCTCGGCGCACTCGCTTCTCTCTCAATGGGGAAATGAAGCTACATGCCTCAGTAATTCTCTATTGTTGGGAGACAAAGAACAGCTTGGCTGGAAAGCACTCTTGGCAGTGGGTGATAGTGGGGCATCTGAATAGCGCGTCGTTCAGCCTCAACGGTAGTTAAATGTGTGCTGCGCTGAAGCGAAGAGCTAGGAGGCACAGATAAGTGCTTAATGGGTACAGTGGGTAGGGATATTGGATGCCATTGATACAGTGTAGAGGGAATTGTGAAGGTGTATGAAATATGTCTCGTGTATATACACAATCAAAAACATCTACAGTACTGTGCGAATGTCAGAGACCACCCTGCATTTATTTCATTTTATTCCAATGATAAAGGATATCAGGACATATTTCAGGAGATTAGATGCAAGATGTTCACTTGCAAAAGGGGAAAATCTAACTGGAGTTCCAAAAATTATTAAAAGATACAGAGACAATAAGACTCCTAACAACCACGCAAGACCTGGTAGACCATCAAAACTGTCATCATCAGATAAACAGTATGTTTATCTTTAAGAGATAACGAAAATCAAACTTCAGATCTGAAACATTCCACAGGTGTTTCTGTCCAACCTTCCACTGTGCGACCACTCCAAAGTCCTGATCAAAGTCCCAACATCTCTGAATGTATTTGGGATTACTTGGATTGTAAGAAGCAGAAAATGCAACCAACTTCTAGGACTGAACTTTAGAGGTGTGATAAATATCACTGCAGATTTCTTGGAAGAACTGAAAGCAGATCTCCCAAAAACAACAAAAGCTATAAAAAAGTAAAGAGTGCAACCATTAAATACTAAAACAGTAACATTGTGCTTAGCTGTTGAGACTTACGTGTTATTTTCTGTTAAATATATGCTTTTTGCTTTTCTCTGAAGTCAAAAAATGAATAACTTGTACTTAAGGTCATTTTGACTAGAAATTAAATACATTAAGGGTAGTCTTTTGCACAGTACTGTACTGCTTATTAGTCATGTAATCAGGTACACCTACCATATAGGTGCACTTTGTATATTTACAATGACTAGCCATAGCCTATTTGATGATGCATCATTTATTAGCCACCATTAGTGCACCATTCACTAACATTCCACAAACCTTGTTGGGGATACTGTTGTGTTAGGAATGCTTGACTCAAATAATATCTTCTCAGCAGTGGACTTGGTGGTCCCTTTGGTGATGTAAAGACTTGCTAATAAATTGTGCAGTGACAGATACAAATAGCAAAGTGCAATTATAGAGCAGGTGTTTCTGATAAAGTGGCAAATGAGTGTAGATACAAGGTAGGTGTTTCTAATAAAGTGAAAACTTCGTGTAAGGCTAGGTGTCCAGTACTATAACACATACAACACACACATCCACACACAAACACATACACACACAGACAGGTACCTGGTCTCTGATGAGACTGTAGCACACTGGACACTCCTCACACTGTTGGGTCACACGATTTAGGTAGTAGTTCAGCTCACATTTGTCACACTTATAGCCCACAAAACCTTGACGACAAGGACAAGTCCCATTGCTGTGGCACTGCATGGAGGTCGAGCCCATGGGGTCACAATTACAGGCTGTAATTTTAGAGACAGACGACAGACAGATTGTAACAAGGCTAAATATTCTACGCGCTTTCTAAATTCACATGCTTATAGTGTTGCAGGGCTGCACAATATCTGCAAAACATTAGTACTGCGATAAAATTGTCTTGCAAAATAAAAATGCATTGCTTGAAATGTTAAAGAACACCTTGATTCACCAAAACATGCACAGAAACACTCATTCGGACCTGTGAATTGAAGTTCACAGTACATAATAAAAAATACTGTTAAAAAAAGCCTTGCGCGATATCAGTGATGCAAAAGCTTATATCTTCATAACAACAGACAAATGATATACACTGACCGGACATTTTATTAAGTACACCTCTTTGTTTCTACACTCATTGTCCATTTTATCAGCTGCAGTGTCTGATCCGCTCGTACCAGCACAACACACACTAACGCACTACCACCACATCAGCGTCACTGCAGTGCTGAGAATGAGCCACCACCCAAATAGTACCTGCTCTTTGGTGGTCCTGTGGGGGTGACCTTTGAAGAACAGGGTAAAAATAGCTAACAAAGCATGCACAGACACAGATGGACTACAGTCTGTAATTGTAATAATACAAATTGCACCTATATGGTAAGTGGAACTGATAAATATAGACAAAGAGTGTAGCTGCAAGGATGTGTGCAATGAAGTAGCTGGTCAGTTTACTGTGCTGGCCTATAGTGTAGCGATGCAAGATATGGCCAAAAATATCATATCATGATATTCTGTTCTTCCAAAAATGATAGTATAGCAGTGCTCTATTTTGCTTAGCATCATCATTAGCTGATTTTATATAGCATATGTTTGGAAATCAGCTATATCGCCTGGTGAATGAAGCAAATCTTTCAGACAAATACAAACATTTAGCCATGGAAAAAATGAAGGAAAAAAAAATTCTGGGTCGGATTTGAGGATGTATTGTAAAAATGTGATGGGCTGTGGATGTGGCCCACAGGCTTGTAGTTTGAGACTCCAGGTCTACATCACGGTTGGTCTTGGACCTGGTTTCGGAGTTGATAACTATACCTCTGCAGCCTCTGGAGGAAAAGCCAAAGAAGCCCATTCGACACAGATCACATTGCTTGCCCTCCACACCTGTCCGACACAGACACTGGCCTGTAATTGGGTGACACGCTGGTGAGGAAGAGCCAATAGGATTACAATTGCACCTGTAAAGAAGAAAAGAGAAGCAATTTTTCTGTGAAAAATGATCATAAGAGCACAAATAAAGGAACATGTCTAGGTTTCATTTTGACATTTTGCTCATAATAAATCATCTTTCAAGATGCAGATTAAAAGAACAGTTTAGAAATCAGTGACTTTGATGTAGTATGTAAATACGGGTAAAGTTTCAAAGTGTACAATTCATTCCCCAGTCAATACAGCAGATATATTGAAACTATACCGTTAAATGGCCCATTTAGAATCCATTGTTTTAGTGTTGTCATAAAAACCAATGCATTTACATACATCCCCCTACAGCAGTTTAGCCTTACCCATTCACTTGAAAGTTATAAGCAGTGGTTCAGCATGGACTGCTTTTTAAATGATGCACAATACAGGCCAACCAATTGTTTACTTAAATCAGTCATAAAAGTACAGTAACAAAAACAACCTGTTTCATTTGAAAAGATAAGGAGAGGTTCACCTTTGTGAATGTTTTGTTCATAAACCCACACAAACATTATAAAATAACCTCAAGAGAAGAAAATCATTTACCAAAAAATGTAAGATGTGAGCCCCTTTAAAATATGCTACATACACAAAAAAACATTTATTTATTGATGTATTTAACCATATATTTACGTATTCTGTAAATTAAAAGCATAAACAAAAGTTTGGGCAAGATCCAGGCTTCAATATACCTGCCTATACTGTTTTTAGCTGTGCATTATTCTTTTGTTCATGTTTAGAGAGATGTGAACATTTCAAAAACCACATATGTGAGTCTGAGATTATTTAAAGGGGGATTTCACGGCTGATCTGACCTATACAACACTAATATTTATGCTATCTAAAAAACGAATCATGCAGGAATGGTTCACAGCTCCAGTGCTACAAAAAAAAAAAATAGAGGACACCAAACATGTTATACCTGGTTGACTACATAAGAGATAAGTGAAAAATGATTTAAATTAGATTTTTTGCTGATCTAGGTAACTCTGTGGACCAGTTTCCCAGAGCCAGATTAAGTCTAGGCCTAGACTAAAAAGAATTTCCAATGGCAGTAGTCCAGAGCTAGGCTTAATCGATCTCTGGGGAACTGGCCTAAAATGTTTTTAAGAAACCAGAAAACAAAAACTGGAGTGATAGATGAAAGGAAGGAACAGTGTGTGATGAGAAGGAGGTATGTGTTACCCATGACCCACCTCTCACAGCCCACACCTGGCTGCAGATTAAAGTAGCCGGCCTCGCACTGACCGCAGTCTCGTCCAGTCACGTGACTGAGACACAAACATCGGCCGGTGTCAGAGTCACACTGGCTTGATGACAAGGATGTGCCGGCGGGGTTACAGGCACAAGCTGAGAAGCAAAACCAGAGATATCAATCCACACACGTACATAATTAGAGATGGGAAAATCAATCGGTTATTAGATGCAACTACGATTGTCTACTTAAAGATTGTCATTCATAAAATGTTTTCGTTTTGTGTACTGTGACAACCAGATTTATAAAGTAGGACACTTTGGCGTCCTACTTTTAGTCACAAACGTTGTTAGTAGAGAAGAGTAGATTAAAATGCAGCCTCCTTTTTGCTTTAGGATTAACAGATTAAGGAAATTTAGACTTACTTTTGCACTTCTGGGAAGGCCTGAGGGTTCTGTCCAGAGCGTTGCCATAGTAACCCGCCTGGCATCTTTCACAGCGATCCCCCGTTGTGTGACCTAAGCATTTCAGGCAGCGTCCAGTCACGTGATCACACACACCCACCGCGTTGGGGTCTATGTTCCCGTTACACTCACACCTCACGCACGGCCGTACCTCGCCATCCCAACCGAGGGGATTGCCATAGAAACCATCCTCGCACAACTCACACCTGGTTCCTGGAAATGCAAAACATTGCAAAATACATCCACGCCAATGATGTTTGATTACAGTGAGATTTAAAGTGATACCTTGAAAAAATTGTCACATTTTCTACCCCAAATCTAGACAATCAGCCAAGACATGAGGCATCTGAAGTTTCTTTTGTTTTGTACTGGAGCTACAAGGCTAATGTAGCTAACAATAAATATAAGGGTGCTTTTACACTTGCAGTTGGGTTATCTTGATCCAGACCAAAGCAGGAAACGAGAGCGTTTATATACATTTACTAATCTGATCATTATCAAATTTCAGTTATCTGATTATTCAAGTGGCCATGTAAACTGCATGCTCTGATTTCTTAGACTGGAATAAGGCCTAGAAATCTGATGAAGAAATCTGATAGAGAGAGCTGGATTTTAGCTCAGTAATTGGGTTTTCAGCATGGATACCCTTACTCTGATTTCTTTCGTTCAGTCTGTGCAAAAACTGATTGCTGTCCTGGAGATAGCAAGCAGCGTTTAACACAGCATCCCCAAGATGGTAACAAAACACCTTTAAAGCGATGCTGACGAATGAATGACGAAATGAAGAATTTCAATATTCTTCTTTGTCTAGATGATATATATTAATATTTTCCACTAAAGTGCCCCAATGTTTTAAAACAAGCCTCTGTATCATGTTTGAGTTTTACATTACGTTTAAGACATGTCTTATTCTGTGAGTTTATTTGGAGGTTGCAGAGCAGATATCTGATTACTCATGTAGACTCCAGAGTTTCCAACTATCTCATTACCTGAGTGCATGTAAACGTTGAACTGACTGAATCTGATTTTATGCAGTTATCAGGTTATTAAGTGCATGTAAATGCTAGCACTGATATATTGTTTTGTTTTACTTCTGGTTCACTTAGCATGTTTTTTGACACTGAACCAAAGCATTTAAATCAGAGATGTTCAATCTTACCTGCAAAGGGCTGGTGTGGCTGTGGGTTTTCATTCCAAACAAGCTGGAGCACACCTGATTCCATTTTTTAATCAGTTAATCTCAGTCTTAAACAGCTGATCATGTGAGCTCCTGTTTTGCTGGAATGAAAACCTGCAGCCACACCAGCCCTTGAACGTGCTGAATCTTGCTGTGCTCTGGCTTAACTGAGTATATCAGTTTTATATAGGTCTTGTTTTCATCTAGGTATGATCATATTCAAGGTAAGTAATAAGCTGTGAAAGACTGTTTGTTACTGTGAATTTCCAAAAAGCCAAGTGGAGTAAAATCACTGTGAAAATACACAACCATGGGCATCTTACTGTTTTTAAAAATGCACAAACGTAATGTTTTAATATGTAATTTATTTATGTGTGATGATATCAAATATTTTATAATGCTTTGAATGTGCCTCAGCCTCATTTTGAACTGAAAATATTAGCTCTATAATTTCCAATTATGCACAGAGAGATATAACAACACAACAATGTGTCAAAATACCATTAGAAATTCATCATCTGCAGGTACCAAAGCAGACGGGTAGGGAGAGACAACGGTTCATTTTGTGCTTGATCCATTTAGACCAGTGTTTCTCAAACTTGCTAAGGTGGCTGCAGAACATTTTCGGTAGTTGTATTTCAACTCTGTAACTTCTAATTTTGTCAGGTTATTAAATCTGCTTGAGTTTATCTAAAAAGGTACTTTAAATATGGCAGATGTTATTAAACATTATTAAAATTTATGTGCCAACTAATCCAGTGCCAACTTAAAAAGTTATCTGTAATGTCATAGAACAGTGCCATGCTGGGTCAGCGAAAGCTAAGGAGGAAGCTCCTAAAATGGATAGGGTTCTGGTAAGACATGACCCTCATTTGTAATGTCATATTAATGACCAGTGGGGCAGGGAGTGAGTGGGGGCAGCATCACATACTTTCGACAAAGAGGACCATAGATAGAACTGCTGGTTCTTTGTCTGTTGTTCTTCTATAATTCAACAGAACTGCAATAGAGTTTGTTTGGATGCAGGTTTTCTTGGGCTGGTTATTTGGTCAGCACCAGGGTTCTTATGGCAGCTCTGCCAGTTTCTTAAGGAATCTCAAATAGACTTCTTTTATGTATGACACTATTATGTATAAACAATGGACAAACAAATTTCAGCCTTTGTGGTGGCTGCTACTACTATTTTTAGCTGCAAAACATGCTTTTGTCTATTTTTGCTGACAGAAATCACATTAGCAAGTGTATTGGTGATGATGCAGTTTTAGGCTATTGTGTGATGTTTCAGGCAAGCAGTTTGCACAGCGCTAATTAGTGGGGTAAACACTTTCATTGTTGTTAGCTACATTAGCCTCATAGCTCCAGTGCAAAACAAGAGAAGCAAATTTAAAACACTACACAGATCTTGACTGCCACATTTGGAATAGGGGGAAATCTGTGTAAATTAGATTTTTCAGTAAACTATCATTTAAAACTTTCAGTATAAAACTGATTTGTTTATGAAATGATGTCCAAGCAATCATAGTTGAGGTAACAATATACTGTACAGCAGTGGTCTCCAACTCTGGTCCTGGAGAGCTACCTTCCTGCAGAGCCTAGGTCAAACCACAATTTGCCACACCTGCTCCAGCTAATCAACCTCTTCACAAGTATTAGGGTTAAGCAAGGAGTAGAGCAGTTTATTGGATACAGGTTGGAAGTAAACTCTCCAGGAGAACAGATCTCCAGGAAAAGGGCTGGTGGCCACTGTTGTGTAGTGAATATCTGAAATTGAACAAATCAAGGAGACCAAGACTGACCTCTCTGATTGGCTGGGCAGTTGGTACACACCACATCCTGTGTCTCTGGCACCTGGGCACATGCAGTACGGTCCGGGCAGGGACAGGGCAGACAGTCATTTGGGCTGCCAGTTAATGGGTTTCCATAGTAACCATCCTGACAACGCTCACAAGAGGGACCAGTGGTGAAGTCTGTGCAGTCACACACACCTAGAGTAAAACACACACACACACACGGTCATTTTGTCCACCCTACCTGTTACTATATATGTATATATATATATATATATATATATATATATATATATATATATATATATATATATATATATAAATCAGAAGTGTAACTTTTCTGAGAAATATTAATATGTCTCTACCAAACTGGACCAGTTTTCTGCACTTTTTGCCCTGAATTTTTTTAATCTCAGACATAGTACACCAACTTCTGACATTAAAAAATGACAAAACATAACTGTTCCTATGTTGATGCAGCCCACGTTCGATTCATTATGGTTGTGATGTCACAAAATTGAACCTATTTACTTACAACCATCCATTTAGCCATGGCAGTTTAGTCCATCCATTCATGTTAAAGTGATATGGAGTGTTGTTACTGCTGACAGTCAGTAGCTTTTTGAATAAGACATACATAATAAGACGAACATACAACATTTACATATATCTGTCTTGCAGGCACAGTAACCAAAACAGTCTGTATAAAGAGAGGTTTGAAAATGAATTGTGAGTAGTTTCATTACATAAAACCTCACAAATTTAATCAGAGGACTTCAATGACAACAAAGATGTAGAATATAGACTCTCTAAATGAAAAATAGCAGTGAAAATACTGTACAATACTCTGTTAAAAGATCAAAAGAAAGAATGGCATCCTGCAATTTTGACGGGCCCTTGCATGACATCAGAGAAAGGCTGACTTGTTAAACATGAGACCGGCATGTACACATAGCCAAACAGAACCTTTCCGGGTGAGATCACTTGGCACAAACAGTTGACATAAGCATACACACACTTCACTGGAGGGTGCGAGACTCGTGAATGCAGTATGAGTTTTTCACTGAAAAAACAAAACAAAAACAAAAACAAATTGGAACAGGCTTTGGCAAGTGAGCAGAAAGGCCAGAGCTGGAGGCTGCAGAATGTAGCTCATAGGTACAGACAGGCAGCTCAACTCTCCACCTTCTATCCTCAAACACACAGCCCCAAACATACCACTGGGCAAGATGCAAGCTCCATACTGATTCCCTGCTCAATTTCAGATGCCTTAAGGAAAGCAACACCACAAGCGGAATGTACTGCTGTTAAATGTGGAATCACTTAAACTGTACATGAGAAGGTATTCTTAGACATATTATTCAATATTTAAAGTTTTAAGGGGACAATAAGAAACTGTTAAATGCAAAATAGTATGTAGTAATAATCTATAAATGTTGATTTCTTGTCAGGTCATTAGCCAAAGATACCCTCTTCTAATTTGTAATTTTTATTTTCTTAAACTTTTTAGGGTGAGCAATACCCCTGTGTGTGCACTTTGAAAGCTGACAAATGATCTGCTACTTGCAATGGATTCTGATGATCCATAATACTTTTATTATTTTTTAGTGACACTGCTGATCACTGCATATATATCAAGCACCTTGAGCAATATGCTGGAATCAAGGTATTAGCACTCAAATGTTCAGACATAGAGATCAAACATTACAGTTAGCATTATAATTTTAACTAGCAATATAATTTTTTAGCAAAATAATTTTATCTTTTCAACTGCTAAGGCCACCTGTGGTTCAATGTTAGGACGTATTTTATTCTCCAGTGATATGTTACCTTAAGGACAGATTATGAAGAAACTTTATTTATGTTTCCATTGCTATGCTGATGGTATACAAATATAGGCCTATTTCTTGCCTCAAGATTTGATCACCAGTTTTTGAAGCATTCTGGATTTTAAATTTATTACAACTTTGTTCTAGCTGTTACACAGCTGGGATCAAATAGCGGCCTGCCAGCCAGATTTAGCCCATGAGCAAGTTTTCTTTGGCCTTGACTCATACTCCAAACCTTTTTTCAGTTCTATTAAAATGAAATAGACAGCAGGCATGGTGCAGAGCACGTTAATGCTTCATGAACTGTACTTGAAAGCCACTTTGTTCATTATGCTAGCTGTGTAATTGCAGACCAGATAGGTTGGCTAAGCATTTTGGATCTCTGTCATAATAAGAACTTATCTTTGATCTATTGATTCTTGATGCCCTGCGATGGACTGGCGACCTGTCCAGGGTGTATCCTGCCTTCCGCCCAATGACAGCTGGGATAGGCTCCAGCACCCCACCGCGACCCAGAAGGATAAGCGGTTTAGATGATGTATGTATGTATGTATGTATTGATTCTTGAAATCAATTTTCCTAATTTCTACCACTGCAAAGAGAATGTTAAACTGATTAGTATTATAGCAGTAAGCTAACTGGTGATTATTTACTGTTCCACTGGGCTTAATACTACTTTTGGCAACTCTAATTTCATCACAGACATCTAAAACTTACAACAAGCATTCAAGTAATGTATTCTTCAATTTTAATGGTGCAATTTTACTTTAGACTTGTCTAAAGTGGCTTAAGGCTAGTGTTTTTCTCTTTCAGTGATGCACACAGAAACTGCTTGAGTGCCCCCTTGTGAAGAACCTTTAGCCTGCTAAATGTGAGGGAGTGAGTTAGTGAATTATTAACTAGGCTCATGAGTTGCTTCATAATAACATAGATTTAAATGTTTGAACTTGCTTGATTGGATTGATTTATTATGGACGCCAGGACAAATTCTGTTCAGTATAGGCTTCAAAATCTTTAGATAGATACAGTTTGCCTTGGAAAAGATCCATTGTTAACATGTATGTTGTGTAAATGAGTGTGAGATTGTACTCATTCTGTGGTTGAGACAGTAAAGATGAATAGGGTAATGTTTTACAATAGGATACTTTTTTGTGCTAAGGTTTTGTAAAATTTAGATTTAGACATGCAAATGAGGCACTCATTGTTTTATTTTTTTATGTTTTTATTAATAGAACACTGCACTGTTATTATAAAACATTTTTGGGCAGAAATCCTCTTATAAGCAACATTAGGATACGCTTCAGAATATGCTTAGGAATAAACATCTAAAATTTCATGAATGCAAATATTCTAGATGCTGAGATGTTTGTTTCTGAATATAGAGAAAAACTGACCTTGGAGATAAACAGCTTTGAAGATGGACCTCGGAACTGCATTATCCAGTGAGATCTCAGAGAACATGCACAATTTATGTGAATGCTTTCCTTAGTACAAAGGAAATTATATGTATTTAGATATTTTATCTAAACAAGTGCTATATGACATGACACGATTGTGCTAAGTGTGGCGGAGCTTAGCCTTCATTCAAATAGCTCACTATTAGAAAATGAGTCTGGAACCTATAGACATAACCAGATGCTGGGTTTCTTCCCTGGCGATGCTCAGCCAGACATTTCCTGCAGCCGTCTTACGTTCCTGCTTGTTCTTGGGGTGTTTTAGTTTCAGTTTTGTCCTCAGTAAATGAATTGTGTGTACCCTTAAGAATTTTTCCCGCTCCTTTTGTCAGCAGTCCTATTATTAAATACACGGAAACCATTTTCATTGGCAGAAATACATTCCTACTCCATAACACTACCTCCACCATGCTTGACAGATGGGGTGGTATACTTTGGATCAGTTTCTTCCCTTCTCCATACTGATCTATGTCTCATCTGTTCCGTACCTATATGGTTTTTCATATATGTTTTGGCAAACTCTAATCTGGTCTTCTTTTTGAGGCTTTTTAAATCTTGTGGTAAACCCACTGTATTTACCTTGTTTACTTGTTGATTTTCCAGCCTAATGATGGCTTGCTTCACTATTTGGACTTCATATTCAGAGCAGCAAACAGCAAATGTAACAGATTCCAAATACACATACCACACTTAAAATCAACTCTAGATGTTTTATCTGCTGACTTACTGAAATACTCAGGGATTAACACACATCCCTCAGCATTTCAGTAAGAACAACTGAGCAGCCAATTGTCCAATTATTTTTGAGCCTCTAAAAGGGGTTGCTGTGTATGGAAATGGTTGTAAGTCCTACACCTAAATTTGGATATAAACACCCTCAAATTAAAGCTGAAAGTCTGCACTATGAGCTCATATTCATTGTTTAATATCTACTGTAATGTGCTGTAGTAGACAACTAAAATAACAGTAATATTCATGAACCTGACTGTATGAAAGAGGGTTATTATGAATCATCTACACCTCTGTTCCTCATTCTTGATGCATCTAAGCTTTAGATCTTTCACAGCTTCTTACAAAATAGCTGAAATATGCAAAGCTAATGAGGACTAACATGATATTAGAAATATTTTATACATGTATTTTCAACTAAATTGGTTTTATATTATTGAAACAGGGATTTCAAAGTTTCGAATGCTCAAACACACAGACTTGTACAGGCACACACACGAGGGAGGTGGGGAGGCTTTATTGATTTTCCGCATTGACAGATTCAGGGCAGAGAGTGCACTGCCGTTTTTCTACAGCAGAGGGCAATGTGTCATTAAAGTTCGATAAAGAGAGACAGACTCACGTGTGGCCAGTTCAGAATCTAAATCCAGCCTGACTGTAATTGCTTTAGGGATGCATTTTGAAGAAAAGGCATGGGGAGGGGTGAGTGCAAATGTGAAAAAAATAAAGATGAATATACAGACAAACAAGCCCCCACGCCAATCCCTCGGGGCTAACCATGTCCCATGCATGATTCCAATATCAAAAACCACATTAGAGAGAGTGGAAACGTCGCCCAGCCTTCAAAGCCCATTCACTTCATAATCTCGTTGGCTCATTCCTAACGGACAAGCGAGGAATAAGTCTCTGAAATTGATTTTAAGTCATTTATGCTCCGAATCAAATCCTACGCGCTCTCTGAAAATATTAGATAAAGCTTGACCGGCGAATGCATGTCTAACTGCTTGGCTGCTCTGTGAAGCAGCTGAAGAGAGAACGAACCAGAGTGATGGAGGGAAAAGAGTGGGTCTGATACTGTATCTGCTTAATACATAAAGCCTGAATGAATCTTGTTCATGACCCACTGCATATAGGCTGTGGAGGACACAGGAGACGCAGGAGTGTGAAGGGCAAGAGGCCTGAGTGA